AGTAAAGAGAAATCTCCCCAATGTGACACAGATAACTAATATAACAGATATAACAGATAACTAATAAGATAACTTCCAATGGGGACACTAGTTATGGTGACAACCAGGGATTCCCCCCCACTTTGGAGGGATTTCCTCTCACTTCCTGTAAAGGCTATGGGACAGGAAGTGAAGGGAAATCTCCCCAATGTGACACAGAGAACTAATATAACCAATATAACAGATATAACAGGTAACTAATAAGATAACTTCCAATAAGGACACTAGTTCTGGTGACAACCAGGGATTCCCCCACTTTGAAGGGATTTCCTTTACGTCCTATAAAGGCTATGGGACAGGAAGTGAAGGGAAATCTCCCCAGTGTGACACAGATAACTAATATAACCAATATGACAGATATAACAGGTAACTAATAAGATAAATTCCACAGGGGACACTAGTTTTGGTGACATCCAGAGATTCTCCCCACTTTGGAGGGATTTCCGCTCACTTTCTGTAAAGGCTATGGGACAGGAAGTGAAGGGAAATCTCCCCAATGTGACACAGATAACTAATATAACAGATATCTAATAAGATAACTTCCAATAGGGACACTAGTTCTGGTGACAACCAGGGATTCTCCCCACTTTGAAGGGATTTCCTCTTATGTCCTGTAAAGGCTATGGGACAGGAAGTAAAGAGAAATCTCCCCAATGTGACACAGATAACTAATATAACCAATATGACAGATATAACAGATAACTAATAAGATAAATTCAATAGGGACACTAGTTCCGGTGACAACCAGAGATTCCCCCCACTTTGGAGGGATTTCCTCTCACTTTCAGTAAAGGCTATGGGACAGGAAGTAAAGAGAAATCTCCCCAATGTGACACAGATAACTAATATAACAGATATAACAGATAACTAATAAGATAACTTCCAATAGGGACACTTGTTATGGTGACAACCAGGGATTCTCCCCACTTTGGAGGGATTTCCTCTCACGTCCTGTAAAGGCTGTGGGACAGGAAGTGAAGGGAAATCTCCCCAATGTGACACAGATAACTAATATAACAGATATAACAGATAACTAATAAGATAACTTCCAATAGGGACACTAGTTCCGGTGACATCCAGGGATTCCCCCCCACTTTGGAGGGATTTCCTCTCACTTCCTGTAAAGGCTATGGGACAGGAAGTGAAGGGAAATCTCCCCAATGTGACACAGATAACTAATATAACCAATATAACAGATATAACAGATAACTAATAAGATAAATTCCAATGGGGACACTAGTTCCAGTGACATCCAGGGATTCTCCCCACTTTGGAGGGATTTCCTCGCACTTCCTGTAAAGGCTGTGGAACAGGAAGTGAAGGGAAATCTCCCCAGTGTGACACAGATAACCAATATGACAGATATAACAGATAACTATTAAGATAAATTCCAATGGGGACACTAGTTTCGGTGACACCTAGGTATTCCCCCCAATTTTGAGGGATTTCCTCTCACTTCCTGTAAAGGCTATGGGACAGGAAGTAAAGAGAAATCTCCCCAATGTGACACAGATAACTACTATATAACCGATATAACAGATAGCTCATAAGATAACTTCCAATGGGAACACTAGTTCCGGTGACAACTAGGTATTCCCCCCCACTTTGGAGGGATTTCCTCTCACTTCCTGTAAAGGCTGTGGGACAGGAAGTAAAGAGAAATATCCCCAATGTGACACAGATAATTAATATAACCAATATGACAGACATAACAGATAACTAATAAGATAACTTCCAATGGGGACACTAGTTCCGGTGACAACTAGGTATTCCCCCGCACTTTGGAGGGATTTCCTCTCACGTCCTGTAAAGGCTGTGGGACAGGAAGTGAAGGGAAATTTCCCCAATGTGACAGCAATAACTACAATCCTGACAGGGGTTATGACCCCTCACGCCTTCAGTTCTATTTTACTATAAAGCAGCAATTTCCCAGCAATTAAAGCTGAACACACGCTAGTTGTTCCTTTTTTTTCCTTGTGGTATTCTAATGAGACAGAGACGTATAGGTGGGAGATTTGTGTTTGTCGCAGATCTATAGGAGCCTGGCAGGGAATGGAGAGGAGCGAGGGGTCCCTTAGAGAGGACGTATCAGAGTCATTGATGTCCCCGCGGACTCGGCGGCGCTCTGTTTTTCATGCAGAAGAGAAAGATTAAACGATTTGTTTCCCCTCGTATCTCTCTGGGCGATGTGGAGGGAGATACATGTGTCATTTAAGGGGAAAAGCAGCCTTCCCATTTATCAGGCATATAAGCGATTATCTCTTGTGAGGTCGGGTAATAAATTATTCTGCTCAGATGCTTCCGCCATGCAGGATTTAAAGAGGACCGGTACTGCCAAAACCGTTCTCCCCGCCACGGATCTTTTTTTCTATTACAGGCTTAAAGAGTAATTCCACTTTTGTTGAGAATAAAAAAACCTTCCCCTCTGGGGGATCTATGTACATTGCAGGGATTTTAACAAACTTTGTTGCAGATTCCGACCTTTATTCGGAAGAAATATCTATTTTTTGTTGTGTCCATGCAGAGTGAACCTAATAGGAGTGATCTTATAATTATCAATCACTTGCAGGGCTGTAATGAGGAAAGCGGCAGGGTCTGCATCCCTTTTAGCGCTCATGTACACTGCAGCTGATAAACTCACGTTCAGGAGCTGTTCAGTGTTTTTTTTTCAGCAGCCCCTGAACTCTCCCTAACTCTCACATTTTCCTATATGTCCATGAACACATCATCGTTTACAGTCATTTACAGGCATTTGAGTTTACAGTCGTTTTTTTTTTAACGCAGAAAACTTGCGTTCAGCAGTTGATTTTATCAGCGTTTCAAGCGCAAACCGCTTGTAAATGCAGCAAATCACATTTATAAGCGATTGCGCCTGAAATGTTTTTTTAACTCTTCCAGTTCCCAATGCTGTCCAGAGCCTTTTTTCATCATGAAAAATGCATGTAAAGCCTTTTCAAGGTACTCAGATGGACAAAACACTGAACACAGGATGTTCCTACCAAGCTTGCCACACATTGTAATGACCAATTCACACCTCAGACCTCTCCCACCCTTGGAAACAAAAGATAGGTTAATGACCATTCACACCTCAGACCTCTCCCACCCTTGGAAACAAAAGATATGTTAATGACCATTCACACCTCAGACCTCTCCCACCCTTGGAAACAAAAGATATGTTAATGACCATTCACACCTCAGACCTCTCCCACCCTTGGAAACAAAAGATATGTTTATGACCATTCACACCTCTGACCTCTCCCACCCTTGGAAACAAAAGATATGTTAATGACCATTCACACCTCAAATTCCTCATGAAGACCCCCTGCCAGGTGGCCTTAATGACTCCCTCCACCAGACATCTTTCCCACCCTTGGAAACAAAAGAAATGTTAATGAGCAACTCACACCTAAGCTAATCTCAACGCATACTGCTGTCTCTGCTTCTACTCTCTGTATTTCTCTGAAACAGTCTGAAATAGTTAACAATTTACCACTTTTCAGTGCATTCTGGGCATTTGGGAGGTTCTCCTGTGCTTATCTTTAAAAAATGCTTCTAAACGCAAATGCACATAAAAACGCTATGCAAGCGCTTCTAAACAGACATTTTTTAACCTACGTTTTCCAGCAGTCAGTTTCCATCGTTCAGAAGTGTCCCGTGTACATGGGACCTCAGACGTGATTTTCCTTTGGAAGTATCTCATGAAAAATCACATTTTTGTTTCAGGGGATGCCCAAAATCTGACTTGTATCTTAGCGCAGACTTCTGGGAAAATCAGTGAGCCAATCACACAACTTTCTAGGGGGGGGGATATGTATACCATCTGTGTACCGATTATATCCCCAGGTCGCCATATTGCTTTTAAAAGAAATTGCAGCTCTGCAGATTGAAAAGGAATGGGAATTTTTTGTTAAAATCAACTACTGATAACTTGTGTCACAGTTGTAGGTTATATATATATATATTTTTTTTTTGGGTATTCTTTTTCCCTACTCTACTAAAGTGGAGTTACCCTTTAAAGCCCAAAAATGATTCCTTGCAGTGGGACTGCACCTGCACTGCAAGGGTTAAATACTCGTTTTGTTTATGGGAGAGAAGCAATTTAACCACATCCTCCACTCCCCCAGCAGATGGCACTTCCTTGCGCCACCCCGGAGGACTGTCCCTAGCTGTCATCACATCCAATGAAGGGCTAAAGACCCTGCATTGGTCTTGATGAGGGCAGGAGCTCTGGGGGGGCGGTGGGCTATGGGGTGGCAAGGACTGGTCTAGCAGCACAGAGGAGATTAAGTAGATTTTCTTTTCTCAGTCTCCTAGAATTAAACCAGCAATGAATCCCCGCACTGGATAATTTTTTTGTTTCCCAGAGTTGGGCTTTAAAGCAGAGTTACTGGCTCCCAGGGTTTTTTAGTATACTGTGCCTGGACAGGGCCAAAACAGATTCCCTGGGGGAAAAAAACCCAACAAATTATATTTATATTTTGCTGAAGTGCAATAAAAGAGAGCTAAACTCAGAGTGAACAAGTTGCATGTAATATCATAGAGAAACTGATACTCGCAGTGACACATTACAGTGAAAGACTCCTTTCCATTGCCATTTTAACCCCCGGTTCACATATATGCGGCCGTGCGGGCCGCGTTTTGCACGGGCGCGAGAGCCCATTCATTTGGACCCCCGGTTCACACCTATGCGGCCGTGCGGGCCTCGTTTTGCACGGGGCGTGAGAGCCCATTCATTTGACTCCTGGTTCACACCTATGCGGCCGTGCGGGCTATGTTTTTTGCACAGGCACGAGAGCCCATTCATTTGACCCCCGGTTCACACCTATGCGGCCGTGCGGGCTATGTTTTGCACAGGCACGAGAGCCCATTCATTTGACCCCTGGTTCACACCTATGCGGCCATGCGGGCCGCGTTTTGCACGTGCACAAGAAACCATTCATTTGACCATTTGATTTCACGTGTGCCCGTGACACGCAGGGAAGAAGTCCCTGCACTACTTTGGAAAACGCAGCCCGCACGGGAACCTCAGTTCCAAGTACGGTTGCATTTCCCAGTGCGGGCGGCATGCCATTAGAAGTAATGTCACCTGCCCGTGGGTCCACAATTCTGTGTGCGGGTGGTGCGGCTGCACGGATTTCCGTGCGGATCCACAGCGGCACCACCTGCACAGATGTGAACCTAGGGTGAATGGACTCCCGTTGTTGATGTGCCGATGACGGTGGCTCCATCTGCCAACAGCCCGGGTGTACCAAGTGTGTACACACATACAGCGGTGAGGGAAAGGTTTGTGAACACCCGTGAGCATTCTACACAAATGGTTCCCAAAATGTCACCTGATCTTCCTGTAATAGCCAGGACTATGATACAATGTAACCCCCGGTTCACATATTCGCGTTCCTGCGGTCCGCGTTTTGCGCAGGCACGAGAGCCCATTCATTTGGAATGGACATGCAGGGAAGAAGTCCTCTGCACTTCTTTACGCCCCGGGAACCTCGGTTCCCAGTACGATTTCCAGTGCGGGCGGCAAGCCATTAGAATTAATGGCACCTGCCTGTGGGTCCGCATTCTTCTGTGCGGGTGGTGCGGCTGACGGAAAGCGGCACCACCCGCACAGATGTGAACCTAGCCTTAATCCCAGGTTCACATCTGTGCGGGTGGTGCCACTGCAGAACCGCACGAAAATCTGTGCAGCCGCAACACCCGTACAGAAGAATGCGGACCCGCGGGCAGGTGCCATTACTTCTAATGGCACACCGCCCGCACTGGAAAACACAATCGTACTGAGAACCGAGGTTCCCCTGCAGGCTGCGTTTTCAAGAGAAGTGCAGGGACTTCTTCCCTGCGTGTCACGGGCACGGGAGTCCATTCACCCTAGGTTCACATCTGTGCGGGTGGTGCCACTGTGGATCCGCACGGAAATCCGTGCAGCCCGCACCACCCACACAGAAGAATGCGGACCCACAGGCAGGTGCCATTAATTCTAATGGCATGCCGCCCGCACTGCAAATCGCAACCGTACTGGGAACCGAGGTTCCCCTGCGGGCTGCGTTTCAAAAGAAGTGCAGGAGACTTTTTTCCCTGCGTGTCCCGGGGCACGGGGCACGGGAGTCCATTCAAATGAATGGGCTCTCGTGTCCGCGCAAAACGATGGACCGCAGGAACGTGAATATTGTGAACCGGGGGTTACATTGTATCATAGTCCTGGCCAGGGGCGGACTGACAACTCATGGGGCCCCCGGGCAAGAGGGGATCATGGGGCCCCTGTGTCCTCGCCCACACTCAAAAAAGCCTATGAAAGGAACCAGGGACATTTCATGGGGCCCCCTACTGAGCCCGGGCCCTCGGGCAGTGCCCGAGTTTCCAAATGGTCAGTCCGCCCCTGGTCCTGGCAGTTACAGGAAGATCAGGTGACATTTTGGGAACCATTTGTGTAGAATGCTCACGGGTGTTCACAAACCTTTCCCTCACCGCTGTATGTGTGTACACACTTGGTACACCCGGGCTGTTGGCAGATGGAGCCACCGTCATCGGCACATCCGCAACTTCAGCATCCCGTCATGTTCCTGATTGCATTTTGCGGGATAATTAATAAGATTTCCTTTGTTGACTTCTCCGGCATTATGAGTGTTTTGTATTCAAAGGATGAGAATCTTCTATGTACACCAGATACCAAATGCTCACCGAAGTGCAGCTGCCTTCAGATAGCCGGGGTTAATTATTGCCGGCTTAGCTTATCTCACAAATAATTAGGCATTGCTCAGGAATTCAAGAGATTTGTGGTCGGGGGTTTCCGTATGTCTCCTCAGCCATCTTGTTCAGCTACTTCCCGATTTATTTTTTTTTCTTTCCTCCTCCAGGTTAATATATTCGAGTGTAAAGAAGGAGGAGGCCGCACACACTTCTTCATTAATGTTGGCCTGTCAGCACGGTGTGTGTCGGTAAAGCCAGAGGGGATATATATAGAGAGAGGGAACCCAAAGACTGCCAGAGAGGTACAGAAAAAAAAAAAAACACATGATTTATGATTCGATTCCCTTAACCCTTCCCCCTCCCCCGATCCATCTGACGTGTGGTCTTTTTATGAGACAGAGCTGGCCTGTGCAGTTTGCTAGCCTTGCCATACACATGTCTAAGCATTACCCTGAACAATCTCCTTTTTCCCCCAAATTTTCCCCTGAAAAATAACAGTGCACTTGTGCCTAGGCACTCCCCGTGCCTTGACACTTATTGCTGTGTATCTGCAGTGTGAGACCAAAGGCACCGCTGCCTCTGATTGGTAGTCTCTGGAAAATTAGAGTGAGATTTGGTGATGTGCTGATCACTGTTCTCCTTGCTGGAAGCGAAGCTGTACCTGAGGACCAGCAGTGCGGCTTTTTAGCCTTGCTGTACCTTTTGTCTTAAAATTTCTCCTAAAATAAAAACAGCGCACTTGTGCCTAGCAACTTATGTGCTTTGACGGCTAGCTGCAGTGTGGGAACAGTGCACTTGTGCCTAGGCACTCCCGTGCCTTGACCCTTATCGCTGTGTATCTGCAGTGTGAGATCAAAGGCACTGCTACCTTTGACTGCTAGTCTCAGGAGATTTGGAGTGAGATTTGGTGATGTCAATCACTGTTGTGCTGATCGCTGTTCTCCTTTGCTGTAGAGGAAGCTGTACCTGAAGACCTGCAATACAAAGATCTCCCTGCTTCTGCTTCATTCATGTGGTGATGTCACTACTTTTCTTGTCACATGTGAATGTGATGTCACTACCCCAAGCTATTAGGCTATTGCCTACTCTGCTCACCTTTAGGCGCACTCTGAAAACCCATCTCTTTGGTGAAGCCTACCCCGCCCCCAGCTAATACTGGAATCCACTACTCCTCCTACCACTCCATCCCCCACAGCTAATTACCTCTTGTACCACTATCCCCTCCCTCCTAGATTGTAAGCTCCAAGGATCAGACCCTCTAATCCCTCTTGTATTGAACTGTATTGTTTACTCTACTGTCTCCCTCCATAATGTACAGCGCTGAGCAAACTGTTGGCATTATATAAATCCTGTATAATAATAAATAATAATAATAATTCCTCCTAAAGAAAACAGCCTAGGCAAAAGTGCACTGTTATTTTTTTTTTTCTTGGGAGGAATTCAAGACAAAAAGTAGAATTTTCAGGGTACTACTTAGGCATGTGTACAGTGAGGCTAGGGACTTGCTCTGCAGGTTCTCAGGTACAGCTTTCCCTCCAGTAAGGAGAACGGTGATTGGCACTTCAGTGCTTTGGCCCTTATCTGCAGTGTGAGATCAAAGCCACTGCTTGCTTCCAGTCTCAGGAGAACTAGAGAGAGATTTGGTGATGCCAACCACTGCTGTTCCGATCACTGCTCTCCTCACTGGAGCGGAAGCTGTACCCGAGAACCTGCAATGCAAGTTGCTAGCTTCACTGTACACATGCCTAAGTAGTACCCTGACAATTCTACCTTTTTGTCTTGAATTCCTCCTAAAAAAAACAAAAACAAGAGTGCACCTGTGCCTAGGCATTTCAGTGCTTTGGCCCTTATCTGCAGTGTGAGATCAAAGGCCCTGCTGCTTCTGACTGTCAGTCTCAGAGATTTGGAGTGAGATTTGGTGGTGCCAACCACTGCTGTGCTGATCACTGTTCTCCTTGCTGTAGGGGAAGCTGTGCCTGAGGACCTGTAGTGCAACTTGCTAGCCTCACTTTACACATGTCTAAGCAGTACCTAAAAAAATCTACAAAAAATGTTTGTCTTGAATTCCTCCTATTAAAACAAAAGTGCACTTGTGCCTAGTCACTTCAATGCTTTGATCCTTATCTGCAGTGTGAGATCAAAGGCACTGCTACCTCTGACTGCCTGTCTCTATAGACTTGGAGTGAGATTTGGTGATGCCACTGCTGTGCTGATCCCTGTTCTCCTTGCTGGAGGGGAAGCGGTACCTGAGGTCCTGCAATACAAAAATCACCTTGCTTCTGCTTCATTTATTTGGTGATCTGTACTTCCTCCTCCTCTCCTATGTCCTAAATTTACTCTGAACACAATATTGACATTGAGGCTTCATTCAGACGGGCGTTTGACACCCATTCTGCGTGTGGGCTACATTTTTTTTTGTGTTGCACCTGCATGCAGCCTGTAGATGTGGATGCAGAAGCAGCAGCTGCATGGACACAGCCGAATGTCAAAATTTAAGATGTGCGCAGGAGCGGGTGTATGGACCAGGACATAGTGTGCATTCAGATCTATGCATCCGCTCCTGCACACGTGTCAGTCTTGGAGAAAGATTTCGTGATGCCACTGCTTTGCTGATCCCTGTTTTCCTTGCTGGAGGGGAAGCGGTACCTGAGGTCCTGCAATACAAAGATCACCTTACTTCTGCTTCATTTATTTGGTGATCTGTACTTCCTCCTCCTCTCCTATGTCCTAAATTTACTCTGAACACAATATTGACATTGAGGCTTCATTCAGACGGGCGTTGACACCCATTCTGCGTGTGGGCTGCATTTTTGTGTTGCACCTGCATCCGCCCCAACCTGCATGCAGCCTATAGATGTGGATGCTGAAGCAGCAGTTGCATGGACACAGCCAGACACAGCCGTATGTCACAATGTAAGATGTGCGCAGGATTGGGTGCATGGATCAGAACATAGTGTGCATTCAGATCTATGCACCCGCTCCTGCACATGTGTCAGCTTTGCACAGTTTCCTCTCCTGTACTAAAAATGCATACTGTGATTTCACTGCACACTGTGAGCTTCCCACAATCTTTATTTTAAGCTGCTGCAATTCAAATAGAGCCCCCTCATTTCCTCATTTGCATAGAGAAGCACAGAGACCCACTGATGACATCATTGAACCTAAAATAATGTACAGTTGTGTTCAAAGTAATAGCAGTGTGTTGAAAAAAGTGAATAAAGCTCAAAATCCTTCTAATAGCTTTTATTTCCATCCACACAAATGCATTGGGAACACGACACATTCTATTCCAAATCAAAACATGAAGAAAAATACATCAAATTTGTGTTGTTCCTCTAAAGAAATTGAAGAAAAGTGAATATTAGACGGTTCAAAAAAATCGCAGTGTTTGTATTCTTCTTTACAAACTCAAACATTCACTATATAAACTGAGAAATGTTTGAAGATTTTGCTTTCCTTTGAATGACTTCATGAATATTTGGTTGTAGTCGCACTGTTTCTGAGAACTGCTGTACATCTGTGTTGCATGGAGTCACCCAACTTCTGGCCCCTGTGAACAGGTATTCCAGCCCAGGATGATTGGACCACATTCCACAGTTCTTCTCTATTTCTTGGTTTTGCCTCAGAAACGGCATTTTTGATGTCACCCCACAAGTTTTCTATTGGATTAAGATCTGGGGATTGGGCTGGCCACTCCATAACGTCCATCTTGTTGGTCTGGAACCAAGATGTTGCATGTTTACTGGTGTGTTTGGGGTCGTTGTCTTGTTGGAACACCCATTTCAAGGGCATTTCCTCTTCAGCATAAGGCAGCATGACCTCTTCAAGTATTCTGATGTATTCAAACTGATCCATGATCCCTGGTATGCGATAAATAGGCCCAACACCGTAGCATGAGAAACATCCCCATATCATGATGCTTGCACCACCATGCTTCACGGTCTTCAGAGTGTACTGTGGCTTGAATTCAGTGTTTGGGGGTCATCTGACAAACTGTCTCCGCCCACTAGACCCA